GTGCCTGGATTTTGAAGACACGCTTCGTCGTTATCCTCCGGGGCCACGATCGAACGAGGTGGCGTCGGGACGGCCGCAACGTGTGATCGAAGACGCTCTCAAAATGCCGAGGCGAACGATTGCGTTGTTTCATTCCCTCTGCTCCTTGGCCCCAAATTCGTCGGCTAGTAGCACCAGCCGGCTGCCATGCATCGCAGAGACTAATCTTCGAGGCTCCGGCACGCAGATTCGTGTTATATAGAGCAGATGGCGCTGTCACAAATCACCGAGAGAGCGAGAGGGAGATGGAAAGGAGAGAGAGAGAGAGAGAGAGAGACGTAGCGGTAACGACATTATTATAGAGAACCCAACCGTGCGTCTCAATAAAACGGCTTTTGCCTCTCAAGAACTTATGCATCTTATTTACATCGAGAATATTGACCCCTCGCACAGAACATTGTTTTCACTTGGGAGAGTTCTACGTGTTCTGAATGTGATGCAGTCAATTGCGCCGGTTCCACCTGCAATGTTTCATTAAGTAACAGCCCAAAGAACACTGTTATGAATATGAAGAGCTCTCCTGACAGAACATGACTCCATTCAACTTCTGTCGTTCTTAATTTTGTCTGTTTCCCCCCCTTCCCTTCGTCGGAGGGTGTCGTCTTCTCTAAACTGGATATAGTGACTGTAGTCCTCTCGGCACAGCCCTCGTAAACAAAAACGTTGGGCACGTGCAAGAAAAAAACCACAAACATTCACAAACACACACACACGCACAGGCACACGCACACACACACCTAAAATGTAGTTTTAATTTTTTGGGGGAGATTAGGAAATTAAAGCTTGAAAACAAATATGACCTAGTTGAAAAAAAAAGCAAGAGTAAAGAATAATTGGGCAGGTAGGTCATGGTCAAAACCAGGAAAGATTAAAAAGTCGTAAAAAGATTTTTTAACTTTCTTTGTTTGTAAATTGATGATTTTGAATTCTGAGGTCTTATTCTGCGATTTCTCTAAATTGTTTCTGCTTTATGAAGTAGTTTTCTAGTAAAAATGCAAAATCAAGATAATACACCTTCGTTTGTGGTTTCGGCAGCAAGCATACGCTCACCAAATGCCTCCTCATATGGCAGTCTTTGTCATACCGCTCATTATGTAGCTTGTCATGTGTTAACTGCTCTTTTTGTGCTTTATTTTTGTTGCACCTTGTCATAGAAAGTAGTCAACAAGGACGACTTTCAGATAAGTTCTGTGTTTTTTTTTTCTAGATGACTTCTTTTACAAATGAACTGAACAAGGAGCCGTTCAGTGGGTTCACTAGGGTTCGGTGTGACTGTATGTCATTTTTTTTTATCTACAGATACACAGCCATATTGCCAAGGCAGGAGGGGCCCGTACACAACTTAAATAAAATACCCCACGAAATAAATAAAATACATATATGAAAATAAGCAACTATGAATAAGCTGCCAATAGGAATTTGAGAAGTAACACTGAAGCACCGTGGAATATTCTTGAATGGAGGTGGCACTTGTAATGTTAGCGGGAGGACTGTTCCATTCGTTAATGGTACGCGTGAAAATTTTTTTTAAACACTCGGTACGGAAGTAAGGTACAGCAATCGCGTTTGCACGTTTGTGAGGTGTTTGAATTGATGTAATAAATTGCATAAATTTGTTAAACGAGAGACTGGATGAGTTATGAACAATGTTATATACAAGCTTTAGCAGACCGGTCCTGCGACGACTCGATACACGGTCAATTTGAGATCATTGATACGATCTGATGATGGATCTCATTTTTCTGTACTCGTTATAGACAAAGTGCAAAGCCTCCTTTTGCACTCCCTATAAGTTCAATGTTATTTTTTTTGTTGCAAGGTCCCACACAACGTCCGCATAAAACCGTATGATCTAATCTACTATTAGTTACAGACCCTTTCAGTGACCAGAGCTTTGCAGACACTAGCTATCGAGGACATATGACTGTTCCAGCTGAGATTATAATTCATCATGTCACCTACATACTTGAACTCATAAACAGTTTGTAGTGGAATGATATTTATACAGTAATTAAATACCAAGTTTTTTTTTGCGGGTTATGTTAATTGTCACGTACTTTCAGTTCAATAACTTTTGCCACCCTTTGCGCCATTGAGAAATAGCGTACAAATACTTATATAAAGTAATTTGACCAGTGGAAGGCGTTAGTTTTTTTAAAAAAGCACACAACCTTTTTCAAAATTGAGGCAATGAATTCCCTAATCAACCTTCAAGTCATTAGAAAAAAAAAAAATTGGGCTCCAATCCACGCTGTGAAGGAGTTCGTCAGCGAAGCTGTGCTATCACTTGCAACGATTGCCTACTGCACTATACGAAATGCCGCCGCCGGTCGCAGCACACCGCCGCTGGTCGTATTGCCGTTTCTTTTCCCTTTGCCGCTCCTAGAATTCACGCTACTCCTCGGGAGTCCTAACTATGCGTAGCCTATTCATCGCGGTGCACATGCAGCAGCAACAATGAAATCAGTTGCTATACTCCGTTTCATCTTACGTTTAAGCGCGGCGGATATTACGAGCCATCGGAGCCAATGGGAAGCCGTGTGAGTGTCACATGATCTCAGAGATGGGTCACAGCGACGCTCGGAAAGCGTATCACGGGCCACGTCCAGAGAACGGGATTGGCTAAGGTAGCTGGTAGGCATCCGCTGCGTCCGGACGTAAGGTGAAACGGGGTATAGGCCGCTTCTATTTTTATATATGAAAGGCTTGTGACGTCACTCCACACGTCGCAAGCTGCCGTCGCCGCGGCAGCTTGGGCAACAGTAATCTTCACCGGGAACGTATGTGGTGAGCGCTACGTGCTTTGCATTGTTCGCAGGCGCTGTTATAATCCATTATGCGGTTTGCATTTCACACCAGGGTTTCGAATGACGTCAACCCCTTTCGAAGCAGCTGCAAACCTAATCTTTACCGGAACATGTCGCTGCGCCATTAAAACCTTAATCTTGCTTACTTACCGGAACGCGTGGGAGGGCGTTCCTATTGCTCACACGCGCCTTATCATTCAGCATGTGGTTTTGATGCTTGTTTTGTAGTTTTCTTTATTGTAATTTTCTTTATTGGAGCAGATATTGAGCTGTACGCTTTATGCCTGATTTCCCAAATGCTGTTTCGCCTTCAATTGCTCGCCGGAAGGTTTTTTTTACTTACAACACCAACGACACGAAAATTTCTTTGGATGGTAGAGGTACACAACGTTGGCTGTAAAAATGAAAAAAAAAAAAAAATAAAAGCGAGGGGTCCGAGCACTGAACACCAGGGGGCTATGCAAGACGGCGGGACGAAGGGACCGAGGCGTCGCCGCCCGCTTCGATTGGTCAACGGCATGGCGCTGGCCAATGACACCAGGCGGCGATGTCCCGATCGCTTCGTCCCGCCATGTTGCAAACACCCCCTCCGTACACCCAGCGGAGCGCCAGATATAACCGACAGGGAGCAAGCATCACCCACTTTGACAAACTGCTGACTGCTCAAATAGGAATCTAGCCACCGAATGAGTTGCTCGTGTCCCAGTATTATTTTTAGTTTGCTGAGCAGAAAACGTAGTGACTGGTTTGTCTGAGGTACAACTGAGCTGTTCCTTTGGTATTGCGGACATAACGCTCCGGGCATATCCCGGATAAACAATTGCACACTGACGCAGAAGGCACTGACGCGACAAGGTTTCGTGTTGAGCTAACGCTCGGTGTGCTAATCATTGTTATTAGCATTCATGAGATCATGTCTGCCCTTAGTTTTTTTTTAGAGCGCAGCTCTTAGGGGCCCGTTTCCAGCCTGAGCGGCGTCGCCGTCGCCGTCGCCGTCGCCGTCGGCGTAACCGCGCCCCTCCCTCTCCTCCTCCTCCCCTCCTCCTCCTCCTTCTCCTCCTCCTCCCCTCCTCCTCCTCCTTCTCCTCCTCCTCCCCTCATTGTCTAGTATGGTCCGGGCGGGTCACGTGACCTCGGGGGGAGGGGGTCACATGACCCGTTTCCAGCCTGTGCGGCGTCGGCGTCGTCCCTCCCCCTCCTCCTCCTCCTCCTCCCCCGCCAAGGTCACGTGACCCCGGGGGGTGACTCCCCTCCCCCCGCCGAAGTCACGTGACGGCCCGCGCAAGGTCATGTGATCCCGTCCCCTCGAGGTCACGTGACCCCCCCCCCGGACCATACTAGACAATGAGGGGAGGAGGAGGAGGGGGAGGAGGAGGAGGGCAGAGGTCCGCGGGGGTCACATGACTTCAGCGGGGGGTCACGTGGCCTCGGGAGGGTCACGTGACTACCCCCTCCCCTCCCCCCCCCCCCCGAGATCACGTGGCCCCCGCGAGGGGAAGAGGAGAACGCAGGGGAGCAGGGAGGATGAGCAGGGCGGACGAATCCGAATTTTCATTTCTCCGAAAAATTATTTCAAAAGACTCTTATCTCTTATCCCTCGGCCGGCTTCGGCTTTCCTGCTGCACGGTTGAAAAACCCTGCAGCAGAAAAATAATAGAACAAAGAGAAGCTAAAAGCTGCTACAGTCCGTTCATCTCTTAAAAGTAGCGCACGGTGCGTCGATGCACAAGGCACGTGCAACGTGCAGACTTTGGAAAGATCATGGCGGCACAGTGCACATTCAAACTAGATTTCATATGCCATGTTACAGTGGCCATGTTCTTCCCAGAATTGGTGCACGGCACGTGTCTCAAGCATTTCCACAACAATCAATGCAGTCACTTTTCTCAGGATGGAGGGGCTTTAGCAGCTGCTGCTAAATCTGCTGCACGAGCAGAGGGTCAGCACCGCCGGCGCCGTGATCCAGCATGAGTGATATCACAAAGACGACGACGACGAGACGCAATCAGGCAGTTCTTTTTTCACAAAATGAGCGAGTCAGATGAAGCAGCTGCTGCTAAACGCACTGCCCGAGCAGAGGCTCAGCGCCGCCGGCGCCAAGATCCTGCAGTGCGTGCCGCCGAAGCTGAAGCTAAACGGCGCCGTCGACAAGACCCGGAAGTGCGCGACGCCGAGGCGGAGGCTCATCGCCGCCGTCGAGAGCAGCCAGGAGTGAGCGCCGCCGAAGCCGAAGCCAGAAGCCGCTATCGAGAGGACCCGGAAGTGCGCGAAGCCGAGGCAGAGGCTCATCGCCGCCGCCGAGAGCAGCCAGGAGTGAGCGCCGCCGAAGCGGAAGCCAGAAGCCGCTATCGAGAGGACCCGGAAGTGCGCGACGCCGAAGCAGAAGCTCATCGCCGCCGTCGAGAGCAGCCAGGAGTGAGCGCCGCCGAAGCCGAAGCCAGAAGCCGCTATCGAGAAGACCCGGAACTGCGCGAAGCCGAAGCAGAAGCTCATCGCCGCCGTCGAGAGCAGCCAGGAGTGAGCGCCGCCGAAGCCGAAGCCAGAAGCCGCTATCGAGAGGACCCGGAAGTGCGCGAAGCCGAGGCAGAGGCTCATCGCCGCCGCCGAGAGCAGCCAGGAGTGAGCGCCGCCGAAGCGGAAGCCAGAAGCCGCTATCGAGAGGACCCGGAAGTGCGCGACGCCGAGGCAGAGGCTCATCGCCGCCGCCGAGAGCAGCCAGGAGTGAGCGCCGCCGAAGCGGAAGCCAGAAGCCGCTATCGAGAGGACCCGGAAGTGCGCGACGCCGAAGCAGAAGCTCATCGCCGCCGTCGAGAGCAGCCAGGAGTGAGCGCCGCCGAAGCCGAAGCCAGAAGCCGCTATCGAGAGGACCCGGAACTGCGCGAAGCCGAGGCAGAGGCTCATCGCCGCCGCCGAGAGCAGCCAGGAGTGAGCACCGCCGAAGCGGAAGCCAAGCAAAAGGCAAGGATCGCTAAGCCTGACGGTGCAACAAAAATTTTCCAACGGCTGTTTAGAGACAACCCGTTTGGGAGCGTATGTTCAGTCTGTGATCGGCTCTGGTTCCAAAACGACTTGCAACCGCTACCGGACAGATGTCACGAGACCCTAGAGCAATCATTTCCAAACTCGGACCTAACCCAATTCAAACTGTGCTCGACCTGCATACAATCAGTGCACAAGGGTCATATTCCTCATCTTTCCTCAAGTAACGGTTATGTATATCCCCCGAAGCCAGCCCACCTCCCACAATTGAACGCGGTGAGTGAGAGACTCATATCTCCACGAATTCCTTTCATGCAACTGCGACGGCTGATGCACGGTGGAGGTAAACACGGCATTAAGGGACCAGTAGTCAACGTCTGTGTTGATGTCGACGACATGGTGACAATGTTGCCTCGTGCCATGGAACAAGACCGAGCCCTCAATGTACATTTGAAGCGGCGTATGCTTGCCAAGACGACGTACCTGGCAGGGGCAGTAAAAAAATGTGATCTGCTGCCGTGGCTTAAGCTGCTGTGTGATAGCACGCTGTACAAGCATTATAATATAAAGTGCGATTTCGCCCGTTTGGGGGATATCGTAGAAGTGGACGAACACGACGAGATCGAGTTGCTCCCGCAATGCTCAGACCTCAACGATCCGATCCAAGTGGCTACAGCCATGACTCTGGCTCAACACACTCTCGTATGGGACGAAGACAAGTTTCTAGCGATTGCGCCAGGTGAGGGAAAAAGGCCCGTGAGCATCCTTTACGACGAACACGCAGAGGAGCTCTCGTTCCCACAGATCTATCTCGGTGAGCCGCGCCGAGTAGATGCCAGCGCAAAACCGACAGTCTTCACACACGCCATGAGTGAGATCCGCAGATCAGACCGTCGAGGGGCCACCCCGCAGCACGTACTGTACATGGCCATGAAAGTGTTTAGGCACCGAGTAGCCGGTGACATGTGTGTGGCCTTCCGTAACATAAAGGCACTGGAAACACTAACGAAGCAACAGTTGCTCGACAAGGATTTTGTGCAGCAAGCGGTCGAGCACGACATGGCTTTCATGCATGGTATACCCAACACCGTGCAGTACTGGACAAAACGCAAGAAAGACCTCTTTGCTATGATACGGCAGTTGGGTAAGCCGACCGCGTTCCTTACTCTTTCTGCCTCGGAAATGCACTGGCCCGACCTTTTGCAGTTGCTTCAACGCCTTCGGTTGAAGCCCGGCGAGATCGAAGTACCACTGGAGCAAATGAACAGCATTTATCGAGCTCAGCTAGTAAATGACGATCCCGTGGTCTGTGCCATATATTTCGACCGATTGGTGCGTGTCATTCTCAACATTCTCCGCAACACCCGTGTATCGCCGTTTAGGCCGTACATAGTCGTCGACTACTTTAAGCGGATCGAATTTCAGCACCGCGGGTCGGCACACGCGCACATTCTCCTTTGGCTTCATAACGCGCCCGACGAGGAGCTCTCGATGCTCATGCCCCAGACTCTTGAAATGGCCAAGGTTCTGCTTTCCATCGACAACGGATGCTTGAAGCGGGAGCGGACTCAGGTGCACCAACACACGCATACCTGCTACAAGCACAACACCACCAGATGCCGCTTTAACGCGCCTTTTATGCCCATCGATGAATGTATGGTCGTAGTGCCTTTCCCCACTGTGGACAATGAAGCGCAAAAGAAGAAAATCGAGAGCCTCCTAAACAAGTACGAGGCCATGCATCAGGCCCTGGAAACGACAAATTATGACTCCATGGAGCAGTTTTGGGAACATCACGGTGTCGCGGACAAGGCGGAGTACATTTCTGTTCTCCGAGCAGGCACTCCTCGTGCCACCATCATGCTACCCCGTACTGTGCAGCAAAAGTGGGTGAATTACTTTAACCCATGGGTTGCATCAATTCTCGATTCTAACATGGATCTTCAGATCGTCCTCGACACGTACGCGTGTGCTGCCTACGTGGTGGAATATGTCAACAAGGCCAACCGAGGTATGTCGAACCTCAATCGAGCAGTGCAAGAAATTGTCAAGGAGAAGGGGGATATGGCCTATTCTCAGGCACTGAGACATCTAGGTGTGAAAATGTTGAATGCCATTGAACTGTCCGCACAGGAGGCCGCATGGTGTTTGCTCAACCAGGATATGTCGGAGGCGAGTCGCAAAGTTGTCTTCGTGAACTCTGCATGGCCCGAGGAGAGGACGCGCATTCGGAAGTCTAACGCTCAGATGGCGCAGGAAGGCTTAATAGAATCAAGCACTGATGTATGGAAACGGACAATGATCGAGCGCTACGAAGACCGCATTCCCGAATTGGAACCTGTTACTCTAGCAGAGTTCGCTACCGAGTACAACATATATACCTACAGAAAGAGGAATCAGCGACGGATACTTCGCTACCGCGGTTACTCCGTAGACGATTCAGTCAACTTCAAGCGAGAACATGTCCTGCTCTTCTATTCATTCCGCAAAGAAGTTGACATCTTAGACCAAAACTGTTTCGAGCGTCTGTATGAGCAAAACATCGACGTCATTCTACAGAACAAGGCACGGTACCACAGTGACGTAGACATTGAGCAAATTCGTGCCGTTTGTAATTCCATGCTCCAGTCAAATGACGGGGAGCATTGTGCCACTTCTGAGCTCCCAGATGTGAGACTGCACCCGATGGCCATGGAAAACGACGACTCCGATCTCCTAGACATCGGTATGGTCCAATCCAATGCCCCGTTTAAGCAGTGCCCTGCCGTGTGCACGCGCCAAGACGTCATGAGCAGAGATCAGTACCTCGACACAATGCGGAAGACGAATGAGGAGCAGTACGAGATCGTCCGAGAAGTCGTGCATAGACTCACTATACCGGACTCTCCGCCACTACAAATCTTCTTCACGGGAGTGGCTGGATGTGGGAAGACATTTGTACTGCGTCTCATCATGGACGTCTACAACAGATATTGCAACCCTGCTGGTTCAGATAATGTAAACGCCTATGTTGCCTGTGCTACAACTGGAAAAAGCGGCGGTCGCGCTTGGTGGAATAACTGTACATGCAGCGTTCAGACTTACCATCAATAGGGATGGCGGACTGCGGGACAACGAGTTGAACACGTTCCGCTATGCGTTCAGGAACGTCAGGTGCGTGATTATCGATGAGGTTAGCATGATGTCCGCCGACATCCTTCAGAAAGTGGACTCGCGACTCCGCATCATCACTTCCAAATACCTAGAGCCTTTCGGCGGGTTAGACATCATCCTCTGCGGAGACCTGCGCCAGCTTCCCCCCGTTCGTGCCGCCGAGGTTTTCAAGCGCGTCAAGACGAACAGTGTGTTTAACACGGAAATCGCATGGCACCATTTGTCATACTTTGTCCTCACGAAGGTCGTAAGGCAAAGCGATCTCAGGTTTTCGACAATACTTACCAAAATTGGAGACGGTGCAGAATTGGATTCCGAAGAAATCGCATTGATCCAGAGTCGGTTCGTCACGCAACAACAAGCAGAAACGTGTTGTCCCGGTGGCATCCGCTTGTACTACTCCAACAAGGAATCGGACTACTACAATACGAGCACGGCCATTGCAACCGAAGATAATTGTGTGGCATGTCCGGCACGGGACACAATCGTTGGATTCAGGTCTGTGCAGGAGAAGACAGAGGCAGTGCGCAAGGCCGAAACGCTGCCCAAGGCCGAACTCGGAAACCTGCCAGCTAATATAATGCTATGCATTGGAAAACCATATATGCTCACACTCAACGTCGATGTTTCCGATGGTCTGGTCAATGGCTCTGTTGGAATACTGCAGTACATACAATACGACACGCTCCGAGACCCGGAACGCATCTGGCTGCATTTCGGTGAGCTTGGTTCCAAAATTGCGATTGGAACCGTGGCGGCCGCAAAATCCCGGCACTTACGGGCACTCGACAGAAATATTCAGCAAAATTGGACACCTATCGAAAGACGCACAGTCACTTGCGTCATTGATAAGAAGTCAAGGATATCCCTGAGGAGATGCCAGCTACCCGTTGTGCAAGCAAGTGCTATCACCATTCACAAATCACAGGGAGGCACGTATGAAAACGTGGTGTACTCGTATGCCAAGAGTCATCCACAGAAATTGGTATACGTGGCACTGAGTCGTGCTACAGACATCAACGGGCTCTACCTCACCAATGTGGACAATGACTTTACGTTCTACCACGGCAAGCCCAATCCCGACAGGGTACTACTTGATGAGTTTCGTCGGCTGCAGTCACACAAACTCCAAACTGTCACTGCTAAATGCTACGCAATGATTAAGCAACCGCACTTGTTCTCAGTCGCCGCACTTAATGTTCGCTCTCTGCCGGCGCATTCCAAGGACGTGCACCACGACCCCATCCTACGCCATGCATCTGTACTTTGTCTCTCGGAAACGTGGATGGATCCAAAACAGGCGGTAGAAATCATGGACTACCAGTACTGCTGCGGCGTCAGTAGAGAGCACAACAGAGCGGCAGGGGTGGCCATCTACGTGCGTAAGGGTCTGTCTGCCATACCCATCGAGATATTTGGAACGTCAGACGAAGTTGGAGAACTTTGTGGCGCCAAGTTCGACAAGGGCTTGGTAGTGGTGGCTCTGTATATCTCGCCTACAGCACTCACCAAAGATATCATGCATTTTCTGCGACTTGCGTTAAGCACACGTGGGTCCACACCCATGTTAGTGGTGGGGGACTTTAATGCAGACTTAAAGATGAATAAGAACTTCATACCACTTATGCAGGAAAACCTCCCATTTCTCTCCCTCGTAACAGCTCACACCGCTGTGACGACCTCTCGAAACACGTGCATAGACCTCGTCTTTCAAAATCAGCCTTTGGTCCATCACCTGGAACACATATCCTGTCACTTCTCAGATCACAAGGCTTCCTTCATAACAATCAAGGACTGGGATAAGAGTGCTATTTAAAGCACCAGTATAGGAGGAGCTTGCTCTATATTTGTATATATTGTGGGGATTTTGGACGCCGAACTTTGGCGACGATATGGACTGCACGCTAGGAAGAAAGGAGGAGGAGAAGAACGAAAGCTGGGAAATTGTTCCCTCCGACGGTCTTGCGTACCTTGAGAGGTGTTAGGCGGGCCACTCGGAGGAGCATCTACCAGCTTCGTTATCAGTTGGAGCGTGCAAGTCGTACAAGACGAAGAGGAGCAGGAGGACGGTGAGGTTGAGGAGGAGGAGGAGAGGAGATGCCAGATACGTGTTGTGCAAGCAAGCGGTCTCATCAATCGTACATCACATTGGAGCTTCCAGATTTGACAAATATATTCCCTTTCTCCGTACAAGCGGTGAGCAAAAATACCACAATATATTACATAGTTCATGAAGGTAAACATCTTCGACAGACGTCTGTCTGGTTGGGAAGTGATAATGGAAAAATATTTGACTCCAACCAAAAATTAAACTCGGACCCAACGTTTCAAAACCAGTTCGGTTTCTTCTTCAGGGGCGATTGATCTCGTGCGTGGGAGCAGCCTCGTCTTCTTTGGTGATACGAATATTTTCTAATCGCGCTTCCGCCTTGCCATCCAGTCTTTTTCTAATCACGTGTCGTAGTCCGCTCACATAAACAGATGGTAAGGTACCCATAGATCTGTTGATGTTTCCTGGTGTATTTTGGATGTGCCATGATTCAAGGTGATGTCTTTTTCGGAGATTGGTTTCAACATCAAGAACGGACGCGTTCGCGAAGTCTATCGGATGGTCAAAGGTGTCACAGTGCTCCGCAAGAGCACTGCGTTCTCGGTCGAATTTGCGTACATCGTTCTTGTGCTGGCGTAACCTTTCTATGAAGTTCTTTGTTTCGCCGATATAAGATGCAGGACATTTTAAGCAGGGGATCCGGTAAACAATTCCCGGTGCTTTTTCCTTCGGGGGGCGATCTTTTGGTCTTGGCATGAACCGTCCAAGAGTGGATACCGGTTTGTGAGCCACGTGAATGCCTTGTTTTGCAAGCACCCGTGATAGTGCTTCGCTAGTACCCTGAACGTAGGGAACGCTGATGCGCGTGATGGGGCGATGCGGCGCAGCTCCCTTTGGTTGTGGGTTTTGGCGAGCGTGAACCATACGTTTGGTGACTTGTCGGATGAATCTTGTCGGGTAGCCGTTCTTTCTCAAATCAGCGATCACACTCTGCCCCTCGCTTTTTCTGTCAGTTTCTGAAGAACAGATAACAGCCGCCCTGGACATGAGTGTTGCAACGACTGATGCCTTATGACTCGCTGGATGGTGCGACTTAAAATTAAGGTAGCGTCCGGTGTGAGAGGGCTTCCTGTACACCGAAAACTTCATCTCCTCCCCAAGATTCATAAGATCAACGTTCCTCTGCGACCCATAGTAGATTTCACCACCTCTCCGCTCCGGGCCTTGTCAAACTACTTACACCGGATAATTTCGCCTCTCACTGGAAGAACCTCCACCTTTGTCCGCAATGCCGGTGACTTCGTTGAACGCATGTCGGAAGTGAAGGTCAACAGGGAACACAGCATGGTGTCGTTCGATGTCGTGTCCCTCTTTACCAGCGTTCCAGTACCCCTGGCAGTCTCCACAGCCAGAGCGGTTCTCGAATCAGATTCCGAACTCAGCACCAGAACCAGCCTCAGCGTGGACGAGCTGTGCCGCCTTCTTGATTTTTGCCTCCGCGGCACCTACTTTTGCTTCAAAGGGGACTTCTACAAACAAACCAGCGGAACTGCGATGGGTGCGTCCATATCTGTCACCACTGCAAATTTGACAATGGAAAGCATCGAACAACGAGCGCTACAGTCCTTTGCCAACAAACCTGAGGTGTTCATGCGTTATGTGGACGACTGTTTTTGTATATTGAAAACATCAGAAGTTGACAAGTTCCTGGCTCACCTTAACTCCATCGAGCCCGACATCCAATTCACCGTGGAACGGGAAAAGGACAACAGTCTACCATTCCTTGATGTACTGGTGAAGAGGCAAGGGGAGGAGATGAAGTTTTCGGTGTACAGGAAGCCCTCTCACACCGGACGCTACCTTAATTTTAAGTCGCACCATCCAGCGAGTCATAAGGCATCAGTCGTTGCAACACTCATGTCCAGGGCGGCTGTTATCTGTTCTTCAGAAACTGACAGAAAAAGCGAGGGGCAGAGTGTGATCGCTGATTTGAGAAAGAACGGCTACCCGACAAGATTCATCCGACAAGTCACCAAACGTATGGTTCACGCTCGCCAAAACCCACAACCAAAGGGAGCTGCGCCGCATCGCCCCATAACGCGCATCAGCGTTCCCTACGTTCAGGGTACTAGCGAAGCACTATCACGGGTGCTTGCAAAACAAGGCATTCACGTGGCTCACAAACCGGTATCCACTCTTGGACGGTTCATGCCAAGACCAAAAGATCGCCCCCCGAAGGAAAAAGCACCGGGAATTGTTTACCGGATCCCCTGCTTAAAATGTCCTGCATCTTATATCGGCGAAACAAAGAACTTCATAGAAAGGTTACGCCAGCACAAGAACGATGTACGCAAATTCGACCGAGAACGCAGTGCTCTTGCGGAGCACTGTGACACCTTTGACCATCCGATAGACTTCGCGAACGCGTCCGTTCTTGATGTTGAAACCAATCTCCGAAAAAGACATCACCTTGAATCATGGCACATCCAAAATACACCAGGAAACATCAACAGATCTATGGGTACCTTACCATCTGTTTATGTGAGCGGACTACGACACGTGATTAGAAAAAGACTGGATGGCAAGGCGGAAGCGCGATTAGAAAATATTCGTATCACCAAAGAAGACGAGGCTGCTCCCACGCACGAGATCAATCGCCCCTGAAGAAGAAACCGAACTGGTTTTGAAACGTTGGGTCCGAGTTTAATTTTTGGTTGGAGTCAAATATTTTTCCATTATTACATAGTTCAGTACGGTATATCGCAAAATCCAAATACCTCAAAAGAGGAGGAGGAGCACAAGAAGAGGAGAAGGGGACGACGAGAGAGTACCGATGAGGAGGAGGGGCATACCCTCCCCTCCGTTCCCTCCCGCCCCCCCCCCCCCCCCC